GGACAAACAGCAATGGCACAGCGCTCCGCTTGAGTCGCTGAGGCCAAGGTCCCTCCACGCTAAGTCTCCGATTCCACTCCGGAGTCGTCCGTTTCCGCCCATCTCTAACAGCCCCGGGTGATATACCCGGACGCTCTCAACCCCGGGTCAGTCCCTGACACTGGGCCCCAAGAAAACTGGAAACTTCAGTGTACTTTTGCTCAATCAGGTCCTTGATTGAGGGATGTTTGCATATTGAACAGTTGTCCATTATGATAACAGAGTTCTTGAGTGGGAAGGGGTTCATTTCTGTTAACAACTTGTGAATAAAGTGACGAAATGCCTTGGTAGCACTTGTCCACAGCTGTCTCATCCACAAAGACATGCTGGTCAGCAAGGTAGTTGTCAGTGATGTCCTGGTGCCACTCTGCATGCTTTCGTCATTGTGTTCCTGAGCTTTGCATTGCACCTAATTGGAAGACAAGTCGCATTACAGTAAACAAAACACTTGGTTGTTCATACCTTCTTCATAGTATATCCTTGACAACACAGGGTCTTCCAGATACAGGACTGGGAGACAATCATCCCACATCGATCAATAAGCTTCCATTGAAGCTCATCCAAAAAGAAGTCTGGTCGCGCATCCAGCAAGCCAATAAGAAACTATGTAAAGTTGAGGTAAATAAGCTAGATGAGAATATAGAATACATACCTGGATATCTTCCTTACTGAGCTTTTGTTTGCAGCCACCTTTGTTCAAATCAGGGTTGAAATGTCCAAACCTTCTATACCATGCATGCCAGCGTCTGACAGTGCAGCTGCTGACACCAGAAAGAAAGTCCATCATATCTGAGCCTAGATAGGTGTCTATGCAGAGCACAAGCGCTTTGAATAGGAGCCATTGAAGGAACAATGTAATGTCGGAAAGTGCTGTTAGCACGCACCCGCAACAGATGGCACAGTGCTCACAATTTTCATATTAAAAATGCAATTATATGGAATGGGAACTGAGGAGAGTGGAGAGGAAAGGATGGTGGTGATGTAAGCATTAAGAATGGTAAAGGAAAGGTTGATGGGCATGTACAGAAATACAACTTCATTTGAAAACTTCTATCAATTAGACAAAAGAGATATCCTGGGCCACATGTGAGAACTCCTCTCCACCAGACTTTCATCCTATTCTACCCATCCACTGTTGAGGAAAGGACATCAAACCCGAGCTGAGCCTGCAATGAAGACAGAACCCAATTAAAAAACGAAAAAATATCCTATCAATTAGAAAAAAAAGGGGGGTTGAGATAAATACCAGAAGAACTCACTGCCTGACTTTCACTGCACCACACCATGCTGTTGTTGAGGAAATCAGGGGGGGACCATATCAAGCTACCTCAAGCATTGTCATGAACCTGCAGCCTGTCAGGGACCAGTCCAGGGTCGAGAGCGTCCGGGTATATCGCCTGGCACTGAGGGCCCAGTGGGTATGAAGCAGGCGTGTACGGCAGCGGGTCCGGCACAGGCAGATGTCCCTGAAGTGGGAATGGTGTTAATTATCATTAGAAGGGAAACTAAACTACTTACCTGAAGTGGGAATGGTGAGAAGAAGACTGCTTCTCTGGTTCCCACCCCAGGTATGTTTATATACATGGCACTTGGGTCACATGAGGATTGCCATGTCGTCCTCATGCACAGCCCCAGCCATCCGGGTATCCCCATGGGCATCAGCAAACCTGGATGCGGAGGCCTGAGAGCTCATAGAGCTCATAGAGTGCTCAGAGCTCTCAGAGCTCTCAGAGCTCCCCAAAGTAGTCAAAGCTCATAGAGCTATATTTGCACACAGGGGACTATTATCTATATGAGCTCCCTGAGTGTTTAATTTATCCGATATCAAAATTAAAATTTTAAGAGCATTGACTCTGGCATCATGTGATGAGTCACAGCCAAGTCCCTACCATGCAGGAAACTGAACAAACTAAGCTTAACTTTCAGCCCCCAATGCGGCACTACACACCAAGGGTATATAGCCAAATTAATATATAGACCAAATTTAGGGATATACATATACAGTTAATCTGAAATTACTTAAGGAAAATGCGGGAAAATAAGTGGAGAAATGGGGGGGGAAATTGAGGAGGGAATTGGGGGGGGGGGAATGAGGGGGGAATGAGGGGGAATGAGGGGGAATGAGGGGGGAATGAGGGGGGAATGAGGGGGGAATGAGGAGGGGAATGAGGGGGGGAATGAGGGGGGGAATGAAGGGAAATTTGAAGGGGGGATGAGGGGGGGAATGAAGGGAAATTTGGAGGGGGAATGGGGGGGAAATGAGGGGAAGATTGAAGGGGGAATGGGGGGGAAATGAGGGGAAAATTGAAGGGGGAAATTTGGAGGGGAGAATGGGGGGAATGGGGGGAAAATGGGGGAAAATTGAGGAGGGAATTGAGGGGGAAATTGGGGGGGAATGGGGGGGGGAAATGAGGGGGAAATTGGGAAGGAATGGGGGGGAATGGGGGGGGGAATGAGGGGAAATTTGGAGGGGGAATGGGGGAGACGTGGGGGGGAATGAGGGAAAAATTGAGGGGGGAATGAGGGGGGGAATGAGGGGGGGGAATGAGGGGAAATTTGAAGGGGGGAATTGGGAGGGGGGAATGGGGGGGGAATGAGGGGAAAATCAAAGGGGGGATGGGGGGGAAATTGCGGAGGGAATTGGGGGGGAAATTAAGGGGGGGGGATGAAGGGGAAAATGGGAGGAAAATGAGGGGGAACTGGGGGGTTTCTAAAAAGTCAGGGAAAATTAAGGAAAATTCAGAAAATGGGGGACTTTCTAAAAATGGAGAATGTCCAAAAAATCAGGGGGAAAATCAGAAAATTTGGGATAAGTTAGGGAGAGATATTTCAGGAAATTAGGAATAATTGGAAAAGAAACTAAATCACTTTTTTGATAATTCAATGTGTATTGGAAAGTGCCAAAGTGGGACAATGTAGCAATGTATGTTTCAGTGTTAGAAAAGTCTCCCACCATGTTTTGGTGAGCCAAATAACCATGGCTTTTTGACCATGGGAAATTTGGTGTCAAAGGCTTGGATGATATCTGAAGAATACATCAGCTTTTTGTTTGCTTTATTGGGTGGTATTTTTAATTTACTTCATTTGGAACACTTTTTTAAAACTGATTTATACCCTACATAACATGCATGGTTACATTGCCACACTTTGGTGCTTTCCAATTCACATAGAATCATCAAAATTGGTTGAGTTTTGAGCAAGAAATGAGATGAAAGATAAAGTGCAAAATTTTGAATTTCAGAGTTTTCCTCATATTTTGTAAATAGCAATAAACAAATAAGGTGCTGATTTTAGTAAACACAAAAGGTATATGAGCTTTCAGAGCAATGACAATGGCCATTTTACACACACATATATCCATATTATCTTTGCACTACTGGTGCCAAAATAACTAAGCAGATTTCATGGAGATATGAAGACCATCCATTATTTAAAAACAAAAAGCTCTATGAGCTCATAGAGCTTTTCAAGTAATGATGCTGGCCATTTAATATGCATTTCCAAAAATGTATATACATATTATCTTTGCACTTCTGCATCCTTAGGAGAACAAAATCATTCAAACATTCAATTTTCTCCACCCAATGTGTAGAGGGTGCACAGCAAAAAGACTCAATTTGCTCACAGAGCTCTGTGAGCTCTGAGAGCTCCCTACCAAGTTTGCTGATGGGGGATCCCAAAGAGATCCACTGCAGGCATGCGTGCTGGGTACACCTGGGGGTCATCCGGAGCATCCACGGCTGGGTGTGTCATGTGTGGACTGTGGATGGGTCAATGGTACATCGATCAAGGAAAGTCGTCTGTGTAAATAGAAATATAAAGAATAAAGAATGATACAGAGGAAGAATGGAAAGAGGGGGAAGTAGGAGGAAGAGGGAATAGGAAGGGGGAGAAGGGGATAGTGGGTGGAGTGGAACCAGGTGGAGCCGGGTGGAGCCAGGTGTGCCCTGACACAGCCCAATTAAAAAACAAAAAAATCCTATTGATTAGAAAAAAAAATGGTCCGAGACATATGGAAGAACTACTCACTGTGCGACTTTTATCCCATTCCACTCAGCAGTTGTTAAGAAAAGTGGGGGGGACTGTGTGAGTCACCAGGATGGCACACAACCTTATTAAGAAACGAAAAAAGGCCTATCAGTTAGAAAAAAAAATGGGTTTGATATATTTACAAGAACTACCTACTGCCTAATTTTCATCCCTTTCCATCCAGCCGTTGTTGAGAAAAATGGGGGGGACTGTGACAAACATGAATTTATAAAAAACGAGAATTAGGATTATTGGTGGTAAGGTAATCCATAGGAGTAAAATACATGCCTTTTAAAAGAAACCACAAGTCCCTAGCTCATCTGGTTGCAGAGATATGAGCTATTATTTGCCGGGCTTGCTGTCAGGGCACACCTGCCCAACCCGGCTCCACCTGCCCTCACCTGGTATCCCACCTATCTCCATTTCCCCACCCTCCATCATCGTCCTCCATTTCTCATCCTTCTTTCCTTTTATTCTCTATTCTATTTCTATCTACACGGATGACCTTTCCCCATTCTATGTATCATTGACCCACCTGTGACATGCGCATGACACACCAGCCCCGGATGACCTGGATGGCTTCACGGTGCAACCCAGCATGTGCACGTGCAGCACACACCCTTGGGATCCCCCATGGGGACACCCAGGTGACTGCAGCTGTATGTGGGGTGACGTGGCAACCTCATGTGACCCAAGCCACATGTACATAAATGTACCTGGAGTGGGAACTGAAGAAGTAACCTTCTTCTCACTATTCCCACTTCAGTCTGAGTGGCCAGGGACCATCATCCACATCGGGCCTGTCAGTACACACGCCCGCTCCACACCCTGCAAGGGCCTCACTGCTGGGTGTCATATCCGGGCCCCGACCCTGGACACATCCCTGACAGTTGCTTTTGTGCCAACAAGCAAGTGTGGAACCGAAATTCATCATGTGGACTATTGAATGGAAAACAGCAGTAGCTGACAGGCTTAGCAAGCTTACTATTGACATTGCTAGACTAATGGAAAAACCCAAGTATGGGCAGTACAATACTGGACGTTGCTTCATGTGCCTCTCAGAAGGCCATGGTTTCAAAGGTAGCCCTGAGACTAAAGCATTTGTGGCTGCTGGCGTAATTAGATATGATGCCTCCAACAGATTAGTTATGTCTGATGGTAGTCCACTTCCCCACTCAATGGATGGAAGTCCATTAGTGCATTTAATCTGCGAAAGAGCTAATATGCATAGTGCAGCCACTCTTGAGTGGATGTGCAATTATGTCAGGGCACACACCCTGACTAGCCCGGACCCAGACCCGCATCCGGACCCGCTTCCACCCGCCGCACTTCCCGCATGCGCGCATGCTACCCCTTCATGTGACTTCCGGGTATCCCTGGAAGTTTTCCTGATATGGTGGCCACTGTGGGAAGATGAGAAGTTAGCTTCCTTCTCATCTTCTTACCCACAGTAGGCATGTGTACATACTTGCCCCTTCTTTTATATCATCTTCTTACCCACAGTAGGTTGTGCCCTGGATAGGGCTGGTTACACCACAGGGCTGTGGACCATAGGGGAGGGTCATGGGGACCTGGGAGTCGTCCCCTGACAGATTATGAGCTTGCCAATAAAGAATTTGCTACCCTTGGTGAAGGGGAATTTGAAGTCTACCCAGCATATGCATGCCCAGTGGAGCATGGTGACAGTGATAAGCCCAAAGCATCCAAGTCCAAGCTGTATGATCGGCCACCTTTGCCAATGAGGCATACCATGCTGCCAGAGGAGCTGAATACTGCACCAGCCCCCAATCAAACTTATGTCAAGATACCCCCACCACCCAAGATTCTGAAATGGCCACTGACACCACAGGAAGATGAGCCAATGACAGATGGAGAGTTCACCCCTAGAGAAAAAGGGAAACAAAGAGCCATTCCCTCCACATCCTGTCCCCCTGCACCACACAGTGTGCCAAAGTCTAATACCACATGTAATAAAGTTACCTTTGAGGAACCTAAGACACCAGATTCCACAAAGACCCCAGCATATAAGCAGAGGGCCCTGCCAGCCTACAAGTTCACCTCTGAGTTACAGGAGAGGTTGAACTCTGAGGAAGTTTTGAGAAATTATTGTCTCAAGAAATTTCCCTGCTGTTGGGATCAATCTTAGGATCGTCTTTTGAGCTTAATAAGCATCTCCAAATGTTCAAAGGATTCTGATTGCCAAGAAAGCAGAGACAGCCACTCTGGACCTTGAGCCATTGATGCCCTTGCCAGTCGAGGAAGAAGAGCCATACTTTAGACCTGTCTTTGACATCTCAAGTCTTGAGTCCAAATACTCAGACAATAGCGATAGTAGAGCGTCTGTTAATACAGATGAACAGGCAGAGGATTTCTACTGCCAACTGCTAGAGGCAGAGCACCTGTGAGAATGCAGCCTCACCAGCCATGAAATTTATTCTTCAGCCAAGTGGCCCTCATATCTAGCTATGGTAATGGCTAATATTCAGGGCCACATCTCTAATCAACCCTGTACCATGTTGATAGACACAGGAAGCAAGCTCAATATTATGACTAGTGAGCAAGCCTATGCACGCATCAGCAAAAAATTGTTATGCTCCTGAGTGCTCCAGAGTATGGGGAGCACTGGGAGAATCAGGGGGAGATTGGCCGGTCCAGGAACAGTTCATTTCCTCCGGAGTTGGTCAGGTACTCCAGGGCACTCCCAGGAGGGCATGGAGCATTGCTTTGTGCACAAACATATCCAGTAAATACAATTTAATGCTTCAAAATGTATAGGGGTGAGAAGCTTCTGGGAGCTCCTGGAGCATTTGAAAATGAAAAGGAAAAAAAAAGAGGGAAGACTCCCCATGAATACCTCCTACCACAAGACTAACACAACAAGACACTACTTAACATTTAGATCAAACACTATACTATACATCAAGGACACTGAGACTCACCAATACACAGTCAAATTTTATGGCCTGATATATGATTAATCTGGCAACTTAATCACTTTCGGACTTGCAGAATATGGAGGAGGGGGAAATGGGGGAGAATGAGGGGGGAAATGAGGGGGAAATGAGGGGGAGAATGAGGGGGAGAATGAGGGGGAATATAGAGGGAAATGAGGAAAATTTGAAAAATAGGGACTTCTAAAAAGTTGAAAAAATAATTAGGGGGAAAATCAAAAAAATTCAGGAACTGTAGTGCCTTTGAAGTGCTTTCAGGATATATAATTATTTGCGAAATTGAGGAAGAAATGATGGAGAAAAATGGAAAATACTTTCGGAGACCCGAGAAATAATGAGAACTGAATTGATGGGAAAGTCTGAAAATTGAATGGGAAAGTGAGGGGAAGCCTTGTAGCATTGTTATTTTCTGCGGTTCTAATTTTTCCTGATTCTTCTTGGTCTCACTCCCAGCTGCTCCTGGATACTCCTGGATACTCCTGGAAGCTCCTGGGAGGGTCCAGGAGCAGCTAATGGAAAATACTTTCGGGGACCCAAGAAATAATGAGAACTGAATTGAAGGGAAAGTCTGAAAATTGAATAGGAAAGTGAGGGGAAGCCTTGTAGCATTGTTATTTTCTGCTGTTGTGATTTTTCCCGATTCTTCTTGGTCTCATTCCCAGCTGCTCCTCAATACTCCTGGAAGCTCCTGAAAGCTCCTGGGAGGGTCCAGGAGCAGCTGGGAGTGAGACCAAGAACAATCAGGAAAAATCACAACAGCAGAAAATAACAATGCTACAAGGCTTCCCCTCACTTTCCTATTCAATTTTCAGACTTTCCCATCAATTCAGTTCTCATTACTTCTCGGGTCTCCAAAAGTATTTTCCATTTTTCTCCATCATTTCTTCCTCAATTTCGCAAATAATTATATGTCCTGAAAGCACTTTAAAGGCACTATAGTTCCTGAATTTTTTTTTGATTTTTTTCCCTAAATTTTTTTTTTCAACTTTTTAGAGACCAAAATTTTCCTCCCACTGCTCCTGGCACATTGTATACTCCTCACCACTCCCAGCCGCTCCTGAACCCCCTCCCAGGAGAACACTATTGGCTCCAGGAGTGCCCAATCTGCTGTTTTGTCTCCCACATGCTCCAGCCACTCCTGATGCTCCGGAGCATAACAGACTTTTGCTGATGACTTCAGCTGCCTGTTGATCCAATGGGAGCGATGTGGTCCCTTAGAGGCATCTCTGGACACCAGGTTTCCCTAGAGGGGCTCTGTAGAAATGTTCCCATAACTCTAGGTGGCATAGAAGTGCCCCACAATTTCTTTATTTCTAAAGAAGGCCTAAATGGCAAAGACATGATCCTAGGCCAACCATGGATGTATGGACATAGTTTGCGGATAGAGTACATGCCAGATGTTGGAATGACAATACAGATTTGGATGGAGGGAGACCATGACAGTGGGACCTCCATATGGATCAAACTCCCAATTATGAATGCACAGAGGAATGTTTTTCCAGTTTCCACGCACCAACAGGCAGAAGCTGCTCCCATCACCCTGGACGTTAATACAGTGGAACTTTTACAGGTGAGAAGGAAATCCCTGAGTCCCTCAGTCACATTACCACAGCACTCATGGCACCAGAGCCAAAGTTCAAAAAGCTAAGGCCTGACAGCCTAGAGTATGCCCTCGTCTCATGGGAGATGAAGGACCTGGTGATACTAAAAGCCATAAGGGATTCATGGTTCATCTCTAAATCCCTGAATGTCAGGGGACAACTCCCGGGTCCCCATGACCCTCCCCTATGGTCCACAGCTGTTAGATACTGATCCGGGGTCGGGCACCGAAGGTCGCCGATGCGGACCGCTAAGGGCCGCGATGGCCGCGATGCCTCAGACAAGGCCCGAGGGTAGGGCATTTGGCCTCAGCAACTCTAAAGGGAGTGCTGTGCCCCCTAGTTGTCTCTTGGCCCTCATTTCGAACTTACTGGGGCTGCCTTGTTGGGGTCAGGGCTTGGGGTCGTGGTCAAGTTGATATTAGAGCTAAGGTACTATAATGTAGTATACAGGATATATATATGAAGGTGGAATGAATAGAAGCGGACCCGGGCCGAAGGCCGAAGGGTCCGGAAGCAAATAGGAACAAAGAGCGGGGTTGGCCGCACCGCGGCCGGCAATGACCGAGGGTCAAAACAAACAATAACAGATAAATAAACGAAGGGGTGTAGGGCCGCGATAGCGGCGATGGTATCATAGCGGAGTAGGCGATGTCGCGGAGTCACGCTAGGTCGGTACCAGAGGCGGACCCAGGGCAGGGAGGTCGGTGTGGCTGTGAGGGAGTCGGCCAAGTGTAGGGGAGCCTAGGGGCAAGTGGGGGAGTGAGCAGGGAGCCCTCAGGGAGGATAGGGCTGAGGTCGGGGCTCGCGCTCACGCTCGCATAGCGGTAACGGGCTCGGGCGGCATCGGGACGGGCGGCTAACGGGCCGGAATGCACGGCCGTGACAACAGCCTCACATGCAACCAGCCCTATCCAGGGCACAACCTACTGTGGGTAAGGAGATGGAATAAACAAGGAGCAAGTATGTACACTTGCCCACTGTGGGTAAGGAGATGAGAAGGAAGCTAACTTCTCATCTTCCCACAGTGGCCACAATATCAGGAAAACTTCCAGGAATATCTGGAAGTCACATGAAGGAAGAGGCCCGGGGCCCGGGGCAAGCAGCGCATGGAGCATGCGGTGCAGAGCGCACATGGGAAGCGTAGCAACCGGGTCCAGGCTAGGTCAGGGTGTGTGCCCTGACACTGAATGAGGCTAGTCTAAGTGACTGAATTGAAGCAATTGGCCTCTCCAAGGGACTCCAGGCCACCACAGCAAGAGACTTGTCTAAGCAATTCATGAGAGAAGTATTGGGTGCCTGTTACAAGCCTGTTAGCAAGAAAATTCTCCCAGTTTCAGCTTATGACCCAGAGGCAATTGTGCCCACATACACACTGCTTGAGATAAGCATACTCTCGCCATTGCCTACGCACCTGCCAGAATTTTTAATGAATAAATTCACCTCCAGACTGACGAGAGAGGGGGTGGTGGTGTCATATCCCAGATCTTCTGCCTCCCCCCGCTCTATCCATACATGACTCCTATGACCTCCACCAGCCCTCCCAATCTCTCTCTGCTGCCTCCGGTTGATGCCAACGACCCTAGGATTACCTCCTCTTTCGATTCTCTCCCACTCTGCCACCTACGTCCACAACACCTCTGGACCTCTACCATCATACCTCCACCTCCTCAGACCCCTTGTTCGAAGGAGATGGGCTTGCTTGTTGTTGATGAATCCCAACTTGTCATCCCATCCCTCTTCCTCACCTCCGGTACCTCCTTACCTCCGGTACCTCCTCATTCCTATCTTACCTCCGGTCTCAATAATCTTATTGTTTTATCATTTGATATTTCCTACAACCCCAATCTTCCGGACTACAACTTCTGGGCTCCGGACCTTTCCAGACGCCTCTTCTTTGTAGTTCCGTGCTTGTTCATAGACGCTTCCAGACCTTGCCATTCAGTTGGCTTTTATTTCTCTCACTCCACAAACTTCAGACATAATTCAGGCTTTTCGCCTATTCCTATTTGTCTTGTGGACTTCTTCTATTTACTTCCCCTTCCCCTTGGTAACCTTTGTTTACCTTCGGATCCAACTGTTTTCCGCTATATGTACACGCATACCCCTCTAGTAAATAGTCCCCCAGTTATAATATAAACAGTCTTCAGCCTTCCAAAACCTCTTCCAGAACGTCTATCGCATCCAACCCATCTATTGCTCCTAAGAACTGAGTAACAGGCGCTCCCAGAGATGCCTTGGTATAACACCCAATGAATTGCATGACAAACGATTGACCCTCGCTAACGCCTCCTCCGTTACGTAGTGAGGGGGGGTGCCTTGGGCCCCCTTCTGCTGGCAGCCTCGGTTCCTCCGTTGCCAGCTCTCCTGACAAATGGGGACAATGAGAACGTACTGGGCACAGCACTCCATTCCGAGTCGCTGAAGCTGAGTCCCTTCAACACCCCGTTGTTGTGGGGACAACTCCGTGTACCGCAAAAAGTCGGATTCTGCGGAATTTGGTCACCAACATGCAGTACATATCCGCTGACGCTCCCGATACTCATTATATCACTATCCAACACTCCATACACTCACTCCATATTTTTCCATATTTTCCCCATCATTCCCGACAACCCCAAGCAAAATTCCCACGCCCAACCATGCCGCCAATTTCACCCCCTCTCCAGACCTCAATACCCACACTCACAACCCAGCCGTTTTTCCACCCGATAGTGATGCTCTACCACCCTTCTTCACCCCCAGAGCATTTCCCAGAATGGCAATCCCATACCCGGATGGTTCAGCACGGAGTATACTCTCACGTGGTCTTGACAGCACCTGTCAATGGCCACATCTCAAGAAGTACTGCACCAA